TGTTGCCCAGGCTGGTCTCTAACTCCTGAGCTCATGCAATCCATCCTCCTCAGCCTCCCAAAGTGCTGGGATTACAGGTGTGAGCCACCATGCCCGGCCAGAAGTAAGTCACTTCTAATGTGAAGTCCACACTCAAGGGGAAAGGATGACACAGGGGCATGAGTTCTAGGAGTGGGGACCACCGAAGGCCGTCTTAGAGGCCACCCTGCCACGGATGCCAGCTTTGTGGAGCAGCCCCTTCAGATGGCCGCACCTCTGAATTTTTAGTCTGGGGAATTGTCACATATATTTTCTATATTGGGGGGCAATCCTTCGACTGTTTCCTAGCTGCTTCCCAGAGACCCACACTTCCTCCCTTACCTGGCCTCAGTGGTACCTTCTGATTCTCAGATCTCCCCTGCCCTCAGGAAGGTGTCTCTGGAGGGGAACCCACTGCCGGAGCAGTCCTATCACAAGCTCATGGCCTTGGACAGCACGTGAGACTCCCAGCCCGCACCCCCTTCCTCTGGGCCTGTCTTGAAATCCCAAGGCATTTTTAGTCCCCAGCCTTCCTTGTCCCCCTACCATCCCGGCAAGGGCCCTGGATTCCTGCCCCTACATCCTCAGACCAGACGGCTCCTCAAGCCGTCAAGCTTCCCAAATTCCGGCGGACGCGCTGCACAGTTTCCAGCGACCCACATTCTCCCTCCGGCTGCCCAGGATCGCGCACTTGTCTCTGCGGAACAACAACATCGATGACCGCGGGGCGCAACTCCTGGGCCAGGCGCTGTCCACGCTGCACAGCTGCAACCGGACCCTCGTCTCACTCAACCTGGGCTTCAACCACATCGGGGACGAGGGCGCGGGCTACATCGCGGACGTGAGTGTGCAGCGGGGAGAGACCCGCTGGGAGCAGGGGGGGCTCGGGTGGCTCACGCCTCCCTGACCACCCTTAGGGCCTCCGGCTGAACCGTTCCCTGCTCTGGCTGTCCCTGGCCCACAACCGCATCCAGGACAAGGGCGCCCTGAAGCTGGCGGAGGTGAGTGTGCCGACCAGGTGGGTCCGGGACCAGGACTGGCCGGGGGGAGCCGACCCTGACTCCGCTGGCGCCCGACCTCTGGGCGCCCGCCTTCCGCAGGTCCTGCGACCCTTCGAGCTGACGCACACCGAGGTGGTGGAGCGCCGGCGCCTCCTGCTGGAGAAAGGGACGCAGGAGCGCTCGCAATCGGTGAGGAACCCCCAGGCCCCGGGGACCAGTGGAGAGGCCCTCTAACCCTCGAGCCCACTTCCCAAGTCCGCTGCTTTTAAGCAAACTGGCCATCCGGTTAAATCTCCATCCTCTGTCGTGACTGTCTTTCCCTCCGACTTCTGCACAAACGTTTGCCAAGCCCCTGCTGGGCGGGCTCTAATTGCAGAACCACCCTGTGGGCAGTAGAGTGTATTGGTTAAGAGACAGGACACTAGATTTAGACCATCTGGACCTGAAGTCCGGCTTATCCATATCCTAGCTTGTGACCTTGGGCATGTTACTAAACTTCTTAGCTTCTTTTTTTTAAACGGTAGAATATTTTGCTTTATTTAATTATGTGCAGGATATTTGGGATAACTAAACTTCTTAACTTCTTTTTTTTTCTTTTGGGACGGAGTCTGGCTCCGTTGCCCAGGCTGGAGTGCAGTGGCACAATCTTGGCTCACTGCAACCTCCACCTCCAGGGTTCAAGCTATTCGCCTGCCTCAACCACCTGAGTAGCTGGGATTACAGGTGTGCGCCACCAGGCCTGGCTGACTTTTGGACTTTTTAATAGAGATGGGGTTTCGCTGTGTTGACCAGGCTGGTCTCGAACTCCTGGTCTCAAGTGATCCGGCCCCTCTTGGCCTCCCAAAGTGTTGGGATTACAGGCATAAACCACTGTGCCGTGCCTGTTACTTAACTTCTCCTTGCTTCAGTTTTTTCATCTGTAAGTGGGGATAACTGTACCTATTTCATGACTGTTGAGAGGATTTAATGACTTAATTCCTGCAATCCATTTAAAATAGCACCTGGCACTTAGCTCAATAAAAGTTAGCTGCTATTTTCCCACCTCAGTATGAGAGTCTGAGATCCTGCCTCACCCTTCATCTCACCCCCACCCAGGTCCCTCTGCTATTTCTATTTCTTCCCCAAAGCATCTCACGCCAGAGGAGTCCATTACAAATTATTTTAGCATTTAGGCAGGGAGGTGGGTGGGAGGGTGCTGTCAGCTCCACTGCTCCCCAGGTATGGGTACAGCTACCTTTCATGCTCCCGTTGAGGAAGGGGCTCTGGCTTGTTCCTTCCTCCCTTCCCCTTTGTGAGCACAGCCCTCCTCCTCGAGACACGGGGACTCCAAAACAGACCGTGAGAAGGGTCAGATGGTAGGGATCAGCAACAGCACATTGTTGGACAAGACAGACAAGACGCAGCCAATGAAAACACCTAAGGGCCTGGGCAAGAAAAAGGAGAAATCATGGGTAGGTGTGCAATGGGACAGAGCCTGGGTGCTGGATGGACAGCAGAGGGGGCTTCCACCACGTGCAGAGGCGGTGGAGGGAAGAAGGCCACATGGGCCTTTGAATTCCCCCTAAGGCCTCAGGTCCTAACCTGCTCCTTCCCTCACCACTGCCCATCCCCTCCGGAGGCGGGACTTGAACTTCTCTTCTCACATTCTCCACAGGAATTGACCAAGAAAGAGGAGAAGTCAGGGGCTGGGCAGTCGCCCACACAAGGAACCCCTAAGAAAGAAGATGCCACAAAGGCAGGCAAGGGGAGTAAGTGCAGGCGCCTCCTCCTTCCCACATGGAGGAGGAAAGAGTGCTGAGCAGGGTGCAGGAGGCTGTTCTGGGCCTGGGCGTGCCTGCCTGGAGCTCACCTCACCATGTCTCTCTGGGCCTGATTTCCTTCTCACAGGGGGATGATGTGGGGAGCCTCGTCTGCCCGGATGTCCTGAGCCACTGTTCTCTACATCCCCTTTGTCGGAGCTGGTGCTCTGTGGCTCTGTCTTCAAAGAACCCACTCACCTAGCTGGGGTCCCCCTCCAGTCATTTCTTTTTTCTTTTTCTTCTCTTGTCTTTCTTTTTTTTTGAGATGGAGTCTCACTCTGTCACCCAGGCTGGAGTGCGGAGGTGTGATCTTGGCTCACTGCAGTCTCCGCCTCCTGGGTTCAAGCAATTCTCCTGTCCCAGCCTACTGTAGCTGGGATTACAGGCATGCACCACCATGCCCTGCTAACTTTTGTATTTTTAGTAGAGGTGGTGTTTCACCATGTTGGCCAGGCTGGCTGAGAACTCCTGACCTCAGGTGATCCTCCCACTTTCGCCTCCCAAATTGCTGGTATTACAGTTGTGAGCTACCACGCCCAGCCCCCTCCAGCCATTTCTACTGCACCCAAAACCATGGTTGGGGGGTGTCTTTGCCTCACCTAGCCTGTTCTCTCTGGGGAGGGAGCCTGGGTGGTATCAGAAATGTGCACTGTGCATTCTGGCTCCTCTTCTGGCCCCAGAGGTAACCATCCCTGAGCAGAAGCCAAGCAGGATAAAAGGGATCAAGATCGGGAGCAGAGAGAAGCGCAGCATCCTCCCAGAGTCGGAGGTAAGCTGCCGGGAGGAATGGAGGCAAAGGGCACACCCCTGGGATCCCAGCCCCTCCTGGAACATGGTCTCCAGCCCCATGCAGTGGCAGCAGCCATTTACCTTCCAATTTGTCTTTCACTCCTGTCCCAACCTCACTTGAACCTGCTCCCATCTCACCCTGGGCTTCTGTGGGAATCATGGGAGCAGGTCCCTTCTGCTTTTCCTTGCCTGTTAATAGCCCACACTTCGGATCCGCTGTCTCAACTCAGCCAGGCTGCTCCCCTAGAGGCCCTCAGTTCATCACACCATCTCCGTCACTTGCCTGGACAGTTGCATGGGAACAAAGCACCCTCTTTTTTGCCCCTCTCGGCAGCTCTCCGGGGAAGTTGGGCATTTTTATAGTCATGGCACTGCCCCATGCTTCCCTGTGCATGGGTCCTTCTTCAGACCCTCTCTTGCCCCTGGATCTTCTCTGCCCCCTTTCAACTTGGACCACCTTGCTCCTTGCTTTGGAAATCTTCCTGGGCTGTCTCCAGTGCTTCCTGCTGTCCCCCCAGCCCTCGGTTCTGTCAGCTGCCTGAGGGTCTGCCTCTCTGTATTTTTCTCTTCCATCAGAAGACCCCCTGCACATCCTAGGCAGGGAAGGGGCCTCTGCTTTCAGGAGTCTTCTCTGGCACCCAAGACAAAATCTTACAAAAAAGGCCTTTCAGAGGGCGGAAGAGGGTGGGGTTGCCTTTCAATTCCCATTTTTCGTCTCTGCTTCTGTCTCGATCAGGCTGTTGATTGTCACTAGGACTACTGCAATTTCTTTTCATCCTGCCGTCTTTGTCACTTCCCTCCGATCCATTCTCCTTATTGCTTTAGGTGTTGGGAAACAGTAACACCTGAATGCCACATACTGTTTCACGCCTCCAGAACAAAAGAAAGCACCTGCTTTCTTTGCCTAGAACACCTTTCCCATCTTCATCTGACAATATCATGTGCATCCACATTTCAGCTCACCGCCCTCCTCAGCCAGGAGACCCCTCCTGGCCTGGCCTAGGTATCCGTTTTCCGGCTCCCACAGTGCCCTGAGCTTACCTCTGTTAGCGGTCACTCTAGACCACATTACTGTTTCACTTTCTGGCTCCCCCATACAAAGGAGCTTCTTGAGGGTATGGGTTATTTATTTTTGTATCCCCAGCACCTAGGACAAAGCCTGGAGTATAGCCGGCAGTCAAAACATGTATGTTGAATGAATGAATGGATGATGGCCTGTTGACCAGCTCCTCCGCTGCCTGCTGCAATTAGTATTCTGCTTTAGCAGCTGGTTATTGAGGCTACTGAGGTGATCAACCCTCTCCTGGAGCCGGTGGAGCACCGAGCTGGGAAAGTTTTCATGCCTGGGAACAAGGTCCTTTTGCACCTCAACCTCCTCCGTATGTCTGCCAACCTCCCCTGTCTTTCTGCCATGAGGCGCTGTCCTGTCTGAGGGTGCCTGTCCTGACTCCATGGAGCAGACCTGGTCCTCCCATCTTTGGGCTACATGTCCCCCAAGGCTCTCTTGCACAGGACTTGGGGAGCCAGGGGAAGTGCCGAGTCTGGGAGGAGACTGAGGACAGGCGATGAGTAATGAGGGGAGTTGGAGAGATGGGGAATGGGAGAGGGAAGAATAGGAAAGAGTGAGGGACAGTTAGAGAATTACAGGAGAGCTGGGTGAAGGGCCAGGTCAGGGAAGGGTGGGCCACAGCCAGTGAGTCTGGAGTGGGGAGCTGGGCTGCTGGATGTTTCTGGTGTGACAGGTGCCAGAGAGGCCTGTTAAGAGATCACCTCTCTGCATCTTCCACCAGGGAACCACATCACAGAGGTGGGGCTGGAGGGCTTCCTCGCCACGGTGCAGCACCAGGTGCAGTTCTCCAAGGCCAAGAGTGTGTCCAAGGGTCCAGTGGGGCTGCTGTGGCTGTCCCTGGCTGTGAGTCCCTTTCACTCTCTCCTGCCAAAGGAGAGCTTGCCCCTATCAGCTGTCACACTCCACAGCTATTGCAGGAGGGTCTCTCTCCCTGTTTTCAAGGAAGGTCTGTAGCTTCTCTGCTTCTTTTTTAAAAAATCACAAGAAAACCTCCACTCCTATTGCTGAAAGATCAACAGTATTAATCACTTTTTCTGCATGTCTCCCAGCCCTTAACCCACCCTGCCCCAGGACCATTTTTTTTTTCTCCCAGAGGACCAATCTTCATTCTCCTTGTCAGATGTCAGCCTTCCTTTTCCTCTTTTCAGAAAAATTGCTTTGCTCCACAATGTCCTGCGTATGCCAAGATCCAGGAACTGATGTTGCCAAGGGACCCCATTAAGGTCAAGCTCAGGGAGGACGAGGCCATGGCTTTCTTCTCCTAGCCCCTCCCACCTGCTTGTCTCTGAGCCACAGAAGCACCTCCTGTCCCTGTGTGGACTGACCTTCCTGGGGGAGCTCTCAGACCAATAACAAAGTCTGTTGCTATTCTCTTCCTTGATGTTGTCTGAAAACTTCTTCCAGAACTACTTAGAACATTTGGATTTTGTGTGTCTGTCCATGCTACATGGCCAGGAATGGCTGAAAAGTGATGGTCTGCATTACAGTTCTGCTGGGGATGATCTCAGCTCCCTGGCCTCAGCTAGCCAGGAGCATTGCCTTTCTGCCTCCTGGGGGCTAGTTCTTCCTTGCTCTGGCAATAGCCATTCCCCTACTGTGCTCCCTAGGGGACATGCATTATGCCAGGGTTTGCATTCAGAAAGATTTGGGATAGGGGTTAGTAACTGACACGCACAGGCTTGGGAGGGGGAGTGGAAGCAGGAGTAGGTAAAGCAGAGGAATGGAGCACACAGGCTCCACACCCGCTCCCCTCTGCCTCCCTGCCTGGCTGGCCCAGGTGTCTGACTGGTTTGGAGGAGCAGTAAAGGGCTCAGGTGAAGAGAATGAACAAAGGCCTGGCAGGCCACTTTGGAGAGGGTGCTAAACTCTCAACGTCTACACAGCAAAGGCCAAGCATTGAACATGAACCCTAATAACATTGCCTGCAGAAGTCAGCAATCTGAAACCAGAGGTGTGAGGTTCCCGAGCCAAGTCAGGGGCCCCAGACCCTTACCCTTCAGTGCTGCCTCTGCTGAGGTCCCCTACCAGTGCCCAGAGAGCACAGGACTGGCTTCTGAGGAGCCTACCTATAACCTACAGGAGTGTCTGAGAAGGCGCAGATCAACAAGGACCAGCCTCCCTTCCTCACTTCTGATTCAACCTGTTCCACATTCTCTAGTCCCACTTCCCTCATTCCATTGCCTCCGCCTACCTAGAATTCCCTTGTCCTGCCATCTTACTATGTGGCTCAGTGGCACCTGGGCCTGTCTCCTGTCTCTGAGTGCCTGGAGCCCTCCTGGTCTCACTGCCTCAGCTATCTCTTCTGCAGCTAACTGCGGAGTGAGCTTCTCCAGGGAAAACCCATCATTTCTTTGAATTCCCAACACTGAACACATTGAGGTGCTGGATGATGGTCAGTCACCCCAGCTTCTGCAGGGAACCCTGCCATGTCCTCTAGAGCTTTGGTGACCCCTTCAGCCCATATCCTTATCTCCACCCTTCACCAGTAATGACTCCTGTATCAGTTCTGATGCCCAACTAGACTGTACCCTAATGAGGACACAGCCGAGGATTGTGAGAGGTACAGGAGTCAGGGTATTGGATATTCAGGGGTGGAAGAGAATTTGTCACTGGAATCCAACCCTGAATGCCGGGAGACAGAGGTGATTTGGCTACAGTCTTGGTGATGTGGCTGTGTCTGTGGGATGTGGATGGGTGATGACAGTGAGGAACTGGCTGGGCCTGAGGGAACCCTCCTGCTTAGGTTCGGCTTTTAAAGTACTGAAGCTCACTGAGGGCAGCTCATGAGACCTCTTGACTCGGGGTCCACTAGCTCCTTTATATATATATATATATATATATATATATATATATATATATATATATATATACACACACACACACACACACGTGTGTGTGTGTGTGTCGTGTGTGTGTAACTGAGTTCAGTGTTTTGTCATGTTTTCTCCATGGAGGTTGTATAACTTCAGTGTGCCCAGCCCCCAGTTCAGTGAGTGCACATCTGAAGCTCTGGGAGGGAAGAGGCAAGATCAGGGTCTGGGGGTGGGAGGGCTCCCTCTGGATCCCACTATCCAATCCTAACCAGTATTACAGGGAACAAACACTGAATCTTTTATCATGGCGATTCCAAGAAACACACACACACCACCATTGAAGAATATTTAACTTTTCTTAAAAAAAAATCTTAACCATGAAAGGAAGAAAATAAAAGAGTATACATCATCTTAACAGCAAAACAGTCATTTCCATATCTATATTTTATATATTATATATATATATATATATATATATATGTATATATACACCTAGCACAGTGTGTATATTCTATTCATCAGGGAGTTGGTGAGGATGTGGTGATGGGGCTGACGCTGCGGCGGCCCCTTGGATGGTACTGGGTGAATTCAGGGACACTCTCCCCACCTCCTGGGGCCCAGTCTTTAGCTCCGTACCTGCTTCACTGGTTTTCTACAGGGACAGGGTGGGGAAGAGGGGACATAGGTGGGGCGAGAAACTCCCATGGTCCCATCTTGCGAAGATGAGGAGCCCAGGGAGGGAGGGAGCAGCTCGGCAGCATGCTGTGGAGGGCAGGCTCCGGAGCCAGGTGGGACAGGGAGCTAGACCTTCCCACTCACAGGGACAGGGACGCTCAGGCCTGGCTCCCCGTTTAGGCCTGATTCTGGCGCTGGGTTAACTGGGAGTTACAAGTGAACCCTCTCTTCCCTTAGCAGCTCCTTCCATAACTGTCTCCAGCACTCCAGGAACAGGAACAAAAAAGGTCAGTTATTTACAATAGCAAAGATGCACATACAATACATACATATTTATAGGACCAAAGTGACAACGGGCGGGGAGGCACCCACCTCCGCCTGGGGTCTTGTGGAGAGAGGGGAGGAAGAAAGTGCATTTACACAGGAGCCTCCTCCTCTCACCTGCGTGTCTGAGGGCAGCGCCCGTCCAGGCGTGCACATGTACGCGCATGTGTGGGTGAGGGCAGCCATGGTGAGTGGGGGCCTTTCAGATGCAGTCAGCATGCTTAGGAGACACCAGGCCTTAGAGGGTCGGGCTGAGGGAGGGAAAAGACACTGAAACTTGACTCCGATCTGAGCAGACCAAGCAACATGCGGGTCTCCCCCCAGGCCTTGGCTGGATCCTAGTTTCCCCAACTGCCTCCTCCACAGCGAGAAGAGTTAGGATCCCCCCACCCTGGGTCTGGTCTCAGGCCAGTCCCTGAAGGAGGAGTGGGGACGCAGAGGATTTGGTGTTTTGCATGGTTAAGGTCCTGGTGAGGCGGCTGCGTCTGCTGCGCTCTCTTCCAGGGGGGTGTCAGAGCCTGCAGGAGGAGGATGAAGGTGAGGCACTGGCCAGCCTGAGGCCACCACTTCCACATGTTTTGTCTCGAAAGTGTTCAGCTCATGCTCCTTCAGCACCTTCCCTCTCCTCCAGAAACCCTAGTTTCTTGTAAGGCTTGAAAAGGGCTATCTACCAAACTCCACTTGTATCAGCCCCGAAAGCCCTTAGGTCAAGTAGGTTTGTGCCAAGTCTTCCTGAGTTACAACATAGCCTGGATCACCCAGTATGGTTCTGAACCATTTAATCAGCATGAGTCTTAGGCCAGCACTGCGGTATGCACCTGCAATCCCAGCTGCTTCAGATCACTTGGGCCCAGGAGTTTGAGACCAGTGTAACATAGCGAGCCCTTATCTCAAATATTATATATAAACACACACACACACACACACACACACACACACACACACACACAATGAAAATAATTTAAAAAAGGAAAAAAGGTCTTGGATGTGAGACCAGGTTCCTCCTGGTTTGTTACCTCCATAGCACAAGGAATAAGAACGCTCAATTCTAAGCTCCCCATTTTGCGGGGAAGCATCTGTGGGGTCCCTCTCTGAAGCTGAGGAAATGAATTCATTTCACTCAAGGGCAAACCAGACTCTCAGAACCACCATCTCTTACTGCTTGGCAATGCATCCTCACAAGTTGGAAGACTTCTCCCTCACAGTAGGTGCCAAGAGGGACCTGGCTTCACTCACCATCCTCAGGGCAGGGCCCCAGTTCATGGCTGTTCCTGGAGTCAGAAGCCAGGGGCTCCTTAGCGGGAGGTGAGAGGGAGCCGTCTGTCCATCGAGCTGCTTCTGTGTGGAAACTGCCCACAGGCGTGGTGCCACCAGATGACTCTCCCCCAAGGGACTTGAGCAGCTCTCTGTGGGCCAGCTCCATGTCCTGGAAGAGTCGGCGGGGGAATGTCTGCTCAAGTCCTTCTATTCCTAAGGCCCCTAGGGAAGGGGTCACACTCTGATCTGTGCTGGGCCTTGGGGAAGGGGGTGTGATTTAAGGGTGGCTGGGTGGGCTGGGGGAAGATCCCTGGGCCAGGACAGGATCTAGGGCTCATGGGGAATGGTTTTGGGGTGATGGACTGAAGTCTTGCAGGGACAAGTCCTGTTTCCCTCACCTTGAGCCTGTTGAGCTTGAGGGTGAGCTGCTCGATGGTACGGAAGATCATGGCCACGTCCCTGAGGGCCAGGCTTGGCGGAGAGCGGCTGGGGCGTCTTGGATCTCCATTGCCTCCCTGCAGCTGAGGCTGAGGCTCTATCTGCCCTGCAGGGAGGCTGTCAGGCTGAGGGGGGCTCATGGGGGCCCCTGAAAGGTCAGTGCTTGAGTCCAGGGGTCCTGCTGGCATGCTGACATAAAAGCAGTTCCCTGTCCCCACAAGAAGAGAAAAGCAATCAGGAGGCACACAGAGAAGTTGGAGCTATCCTCCCACTCTTGTGGGGTCCCCAGCCGCCTGACAGTGCAGGCCAGTCAGCCCTCTCCAGGCGAACTCGGGGCACGTGAGCCTTGCTCACTGTCTGCCAGCCCCCTAAAAGCCCTGCTCCCCAGTCTTTCTAGATGATACTTTGCTCAGTCTGGCCCCAACCTGGGGGAGATGCTGAGCAGTGAACTCAAGGGAGAAGTGTGGGGCTGTAGTGTTTCATTTGGGGAAACGGGAGTGGCTCCCCCTTGAGTAAACAGATCAGGGGCTGGTTTCAGCCTCTTCTGAAAGGAGCAGGGAGCAGCCCTCTCGCCCTGCCTGACTCTGGCTCTGCATGAACTGCAGCCCTGCCCTGCTCCTCCGCCATCCATACCACAAACCTCTGGAGGTCCCTCGACCCAACTAAGGGGCGTCAGAGACAGCTGGAGGAAAGATTTGGAGGGTTCCTGACAGGCAGGAAGCTCAGAGAACCACCGCAGAACCTGGGAGGCCATTTGAGCTGCTTTCCACAGTGACACTGGAGTGGCGTCTGGGGTGGGGAAGCTGCTCGAGCATCAGGTGAAGGACACCGGGCTCCCGGCACCAGGCCACCCTTCCCTGCCCCTCTCACAAGTGCACACAGGTGTTTATCCCTGCTGCTCTGAACAGGAGCCTGGACAGGTGGCTTCTTAAGGCTCGACGGACAGCACAGGGCCCGTCCGCGTCCGTAGGTCCACATCTTCCTCCTCCCCTTTCCAGGCAGCTGGTGGGTGTGTGTGTGACCACGGGCAGGGGTCCGGCTCTGCCCTCAGGTCCCACACGCCAGTCCTGGCCTGTCTTTGGCTCCGAGGAGAAAGTTATTACCCGTAGCCTTTGTTCCGCTTTCCACTTCAGGCGGCTCAGGCTGTGACTGGCCACTCTCTGGTAGTGCAGGGACAACCTTGCTGCCTGCCACCTCAGCTGCACCGACACCACCACCACCAGGAAGAGGAGAGACCGAAAGACAAGGAAAGGGAAGGGAGAGCGAGCAGGAAGGAGAGAGGGCAGGAGGTGGGGGCAGGGGGAGGAGAAAACGGGAAGAACAAGGTGAACACAAGATCATACACGATGACATCCCAGGCAGCGCAGAGAACTTTCCACCAATTCACCGAGAGAGAGAAGGAAGGTCAGTTCCCAGAAACCCAGGAGACAGGCAGGCCTCCGGCAGATGGAATGAAAATGCTACTGGAAGGGAGGCAGAGCGGAGCCCCAGGGGAGGGCAGGAAGCTCCTGCCGCAAGACCCCTAGTGCGGAACCCTGCCCCATGTGTGCCCCAGGCTTTGTTCTGCCTTTCTTGCCGCCCTCTCAGACTAGCCCACTCTTCCCGGGGTGGGGACCTTCCTCCCTGGGCTCACTGCTCGGGCTGGCTGGGCAAACCTGTCTGCCTCCCTGCGAGCTTGTCTCAAGGCCGCCCACGGTGCTCCCCAACCTGGGCTGCCTTCCTGTCGCCTGTTCACTCCCCAGACCCCTCACTCGCCAGGTGTCTTCCCAGCCTTGTCCTCCACGCCCTCCAGGCCCAGCTGCCACCTGTTGCCCTCAGTGCTGTCACGTGGCGTGAGGGGCTGCGTGCCCCCACCCTGTCTGTCCAGGGCTGAGGCTCCTGGGAAGGGTGGCTCTTTTCCCCGGGACCAGGAGCTCAGTGAGGAGCGCTAACAGAGACTGGTTCTGGCAGTTGGTTTGTGCCAGGCAGAAAGAAATGTCCTATGTGTTACAAAATGAAGTTGAGCGATGATTCAAAATTTTCTCTAAAGCCACGCAGATATTAAGTGGCAGAGCTAAGCTCCGAATCTCCACTGTCCAACTCCAAAGCCTGCCTGATATCGGCGTGTCTCCTTCTTCCAGGACCCAGCGTAGGTCTCTGCTCACACGACACCCAGGGGGAATACAGGGAAGCACCTGTTCCAAAGACTTATCTCACCTAGCAAGGGTGCTTTTCCCCCCACTGGACGTGCCTATGTATTTTACCTTTTCTCACAACTTTGTAACCTCCTGCTGCCTCTGTGCTTGAAACCTCTTCAGCCGGATTCCTATCCAGTTCTGGAGATTCCCATATCCCAGAATTTCTGGTCCTTGGGGGTAGATCTTCCAGAGAACAGAGAGCCATGTCCTCCTGCTCTGGCCGTTCCCCCTCCAGCCCTGGAAGCTGGGTGTTGTCCCCTTCACCCCCAGGGAGGGCTTGCCCTGGGGAGCCTGGGTCCCAGGGGTGAGAGGTGACGCTGATGACGGAAGGTGTGGGTGTCACGTCGTCCTCGGGCTCCTGGGCAGCCTGAGTTTCCATGGTGTGACCTGGCAGCAGGCTCCACAGGATCAGGCGGCGCAGGTTCTCCACTGGAGGGGAAACGGGTGATGTCTTCCCAGCATGGGACTACACACCATGTCAGAAGGATCGCTGTGTTGCCCCACTGACCCCACCCAAGGTGGTGACCTCAGGCACAGGTGGAGCTGGAGGGCTTTGGCCAACTAGCTGGTGGGGGTTGGCTGGGCAATGACATTTGTCTCTGCATCCACCTCTCCTCAAGTACACCAGGGAGAGCCTTTGGGAAGGTGGAGGGTGCAGGTACCTGTCAGTTTACATAGGCTGTGCGACTGGGGACCAGAGGCTGATGCCAGGGCCTTCAGGCACTCACCATCTTCCAGAGCGGAATCAGCGAGGCCTTCCATGAACAGAGGGCCTGGGAAGGCCAGGTGGATGGGGTTCCTTGTCCTGATGCCCCGGTTCTCTCCATCCAGGGATGTGGAAGGGCAAGGCAGGACACCCAGTTCCTCCTCCTCCGCACTGCCCTCCTGCTCAGGGTCCTCTAGCAGGACCGGGTGCTTCCCTTGGACCCTCTGCTGGGGCCCAGTACCTGCTTTGGATGAGAGAACACTGCCAGGCAGGGAAAGGGAGAGAGCACATAAGGGAGAGCCCATGCGCAGCTTTGGAGCTGAGGGGCTGGGAACACCGGTTCATGCTACAGTTGGTCACTGGACACTTCCTTTGGCTGGCACTGTCCCAGGCTCTAGGCATATAACAGTAAGCAAAACAAAAAGATCCCTGCCCGTGCTGAGCATACATTCCAGTGGAGGGACATACAAAAATAAGACACTTCAGTCAGTCAGTCAGTTTGTTAGAAGGCGGTAACTTCCACGGGAAAGAAGAAAACAACGGAGCAGGGCATGGGGGCTGGGCAGTGCTGGCGTTAAACAGATTGGGCGAAGGGGGCACTGGAACAAAGACGCGAAGGAGATGTGGCGTTAGGAGGAAGAGCATTCTAAGCAGAAGGAAACAACAGGGACCCAGCCAGGAAGCCTGAGATTTCTCCTGAAACCCAAGACCCCAGGTTACTTCACACACAAGCTCTCAATGAGAATGCTGTCCCCTCTACCAATCCCATCACGGTTAGTGCATCTGAAGCCCTTTGAGCTCCCCGGCCCCCCATGTTTCCCATTCCTGTAGCTGCAGCACGCATCTCTCTCCCCAGCAGTAATCCCTGGCGGGAGGATGCAGGGGACCCCGCCAGGCTGCTCCTCTTCCTCCACGGCTGATGCCATCACCCAGACAGGCTGGGTGGGAATCTCTGGTCAGGTGAGTGAGCTCACACTTGTCTAAGTCTATTCAGTCTGCTCTCCTTCCTCCTCCAGACTTTCTCCCACTGTTTCTTCTCTACTCTTCATCAAAACCTCACACCCCAGGCCCTGATGGCCTCTCCCATCACTCCCATACTCACACCCAACCTGTGCTGGCTCCCACTGCACAGTTCAGGGCCCTTACCTCCAGGCAGCTCCTCAGGTTCAGGTTCACCATGGAACACGTCTGAGTCATCCAGTTCTACCCTGAAGGAGGAAACCAACCCAGGGTGAGATATCATGAGATTCCATCCTGGACTTCTGTGTTAGAATGGGCGATAGAGTAGGATCTGAGGACGGTGTGGGCCTCCTCACCTGGCTGGTTTGCATGGCAACCCGGTGAGGAGGGGGGCTGCTGGCTGAGCTTCTCTGGTCCCCTGCTCTATGCCCCCATCACCCTACTTCAGGCTCAGGCTCTATTACAGCCAGGTGGCAGGCTGTAGGGGAGCAGACAGGGACAGGAAGCAGGGACAGGGGGCATGTTCCTCCATCTGCCAGCGCTTGGAGCTGTCTGCTCCCTGCTAGCATTTCCCTGTTGTGGCTGTCCACCCCTGGGGTGAAGGGCTTAGAAGCAGCAGGAAACGGGCGGTTTGGAGTGGAGAGAGTGTAGGGTCTGGAGAGCTAAGCATTGCACCTGCTGGGTGTAGACCCCTGGTGGGCTGGCTCCTGGGGCCCTGGGGGTGGAGGATGGACAGGCATTGGGGCAGCTCCGGGGTGCCTGGTGGCATGCCGCACGGCCTCTTCTAAGAGCTCCATCCATCTGTTGCTCGGCAGGAACAGAGAAGACTGTAGTGAGAGCAAGACCATGGCACACACCACCCCTGTGCTGAGCCCACTGCTTCAGGGCTTCCACATCCTTCTTCAGGCCCTAAGGACCCTCTGCCTGGCAGGTGCCCACCTCCCCATACAGTCCTCCCTGGCTGCTCCCTTGGGGTTATATTACTTGCAGCTACCAAATCCTGAACACCAACCCTCTGTTACGCTCTGTGCAAAGCATTCTGTTTTCTCTCTAAAGTAATTCTCTAACAGGGAGCATTAGCCACATTTTACAAATGAAAACCCTGGAGGTGGGAAACGGGGTTGACTCGACCCGCCTCCTTCCACTGTACCACGCCACCTCTGGCGGTTGCTCTCAGATAACATGGGCTGGGTGGGAGGCAAATGCCTGAGGAGGATGCATGAATCTAATTCACCTGTTGGTGAAGGGAGTAGGGCAGGAAGCAGAGAAGCAGCAGCGGCTGCGGCTGGAAGACTGCCAGCTCATTCTCCCAGAGGCAGGCCTGGTGACCAGGTCAGTGGTTACGACCCCTCCCAGCTTCTCTTCTTCTGACCTACCTCCCACTTCCCTTCCCAACTCCCTGTCCAGGGACTGCTCTGGGGCCCAGCCCTGGCCTTGCTGTCCACCGTCCTCATACACACCACCCTGGTCCCAAGGGGACTGAAGTTACGGATGACCCCTCAATCAAGTCTCACGTGTTCTTGTCTGATGACGTCAATGCAACCAGCTCATAGATCTGGGGTGGGCCCAGCTTGGAGGTGCAGATGATGAAGAAGGCCCGTTTATCTGCGTGAGGAAAGGAAGGTAGAAGGGCCTGTACTAGGGACGGCAGGTGTGACTGCAGCCTGAGCCAGGGTGACAGAGTGGGACTCAAGCTCTGACCCTCAGTGAGGATGAAGAGTGCCGCATGAGACAGAGGTGGGTCATCGGGATCACTTGGAATCCACTTACACAAGGGACAGAGGAAATTCCAGGACCCCTAATGTCACCTTTCACAGCCACCACCATTCCTTTCATGCTCTAATAATAGCGATGGCTGACGTGTGTGTGGTGCTTAGGACTGACAAAATGTTTTTTTTTTTTCTTGAGACAGAGTCTTGCTCTGTCGCTCAGGCTGGAGTGCAGTGGCAAGATCTTGGCTCACTGCAACCTCCACCTCCTGGGTTCAAGCGATTCTCCTGCCTCAGCCTCCCAAGTAGCTGGGATTACAGGCACCTGCTGCCATGCCTGGTTAATTTTTGTTGTTTTAGTAGAGATGGGGTTTCACCCTGTTGGCTAGGCTGGTCTTGAACTCGTGACCTCAAGTGATCTACCTGCCTAGGCCTCCCAAAGTGCTGGGTTTGCAGGCATGAGCTGCTGAGCCTGGCCAGGAGTTTATAAAACTTTTTCATACCTGTCATCCCTTTTGATGCCCCCAAGAGGTAGGGTAGGTATCACACCTATCTCACAGATGAAGGAAGTGAGCCCAGAGAATTTGGTTGCTTGACTCCTGCTCCAGAGCCCTTTCTCACACACATGGCACTTCTCACTGAAATGCCTTTGTCCAGTGGACACAGCTCTGTACCGTAGGTACTAACATCTAACATCTTTTGGAACCAAGCTCTGCCCAAGTCATTCTTGAAGCAGAAAGGTGTGTCCTACTCATGCTGCCTAATCCCATTCTTCCCAGTCCTGCTTAGACACTCTTACCCCATCCTTGGTGTGCACATCCCAACCAAACCAGCACTGTGCTGGAGGACTGCTGACCGCCCCTGCGCGAGGCTGTCTAGTTTCCTCTTGGTCCCCCTGCAACCCGCATCCTACCCCACTCTGTCCTCCTGCTTGTGCTGGGTCAGGACAGGAGGAAAGGAATACAGGTGGACAGGTAGGTCCTGCAAAGGCCCCAGACTGGCCTTGCCTCACCCAGCGCTCGCTGGACACGAGTAACAGAGATCACGGTCCTCGAGCCCGAGGCCAGCCTGGACCATCTCCCCAGGTACCTGTGGCCACAGAGCGGATGAGCACGGCATTGAGCTTGAGCACGGGGCTGAAGGTCTGCTTGCTGTCTGAGGAGCCCACGGCAGTCTTGCTGTGGCACTTCAGCAGTAGCTTCTCGTCCTGTTTCTGCAGCAGCACTAGGAGGTCCTCCAGCAGCAGCACGTGAAGGTCTGGAGGGGTATGGTTGGGGGGAGGTGTTCCCTGGTCTCACTCATCCCTCACGAGCACAATGTAGAGCCTCAGGCTCTTGGAGACTCTAGGAAGCCCTGGGAGTCTGGTGACCCCATTTCTCTCTCTGATTACTCCTTTCCCATGTCCCAAGATGTCACCTCCAATCATGTTTCAATGCTTGGGAAACAGAGAGAAGAGCCCAGGGAGGCCCACCCACTGTAGGTTCCCGCTCAGTCCCAGTGCCCCGGCACATACCCAAGGTCTTATCCTTGCTGATCCTCCAGGTCAGGGGCCCTTCATGAATCATTTTTCTGGTTGTAAGATCCAGGCTCTGTTAATGAGACACCATTCATTCATTCATTCATTCAAGTATTTGAGAACCTACTGTGTGCCAGACATTGTGCTAAGGTGCTGGGAATTGGTGAATAAGAAACAGTCCTTGCCCTTACTCTCTTGTGGGGGATGAAGACAAGCAAAAAGGTAACTGTGAAGTCATATGTCATGTGCCAGCTGGGAGGTATACTGATGGCTCTGACTTTGGGTCTCCCACCTGCCCCTACCATGTGCCAGCTACGGTCCTAAAAAGACCACACACTGCTTTTCCCGGCCATGCCTCCAGCTCCGCTCCCTCCCAGAGGACCTCCACCTTACCTCCAGTTCTACCCCGTCCCCTGCTCTTTCAGGCTGAGTTCCAACATCTAGTCTTTCCTGAGTGGGGCTGTCTGCCTTGTCCATCTAGGGACGGGGTGACAATAACAGGGTATGTGTCTTCTGGGGCTCCATCGTGCCACCCTGTCTGGTCTGTGTCTCCTGCCTCTAAGACTCTCCAAGCCCTGGCCAGAGTTCTGCTCCTAAGGGTGCACAACAAGTGTGAGGGATTGGCTGTGCTGTAGCCTCCGCCTCCTACCTTGAACTCTGCTGCCAGGGGGTTGCTGGCCCTCTCCAGGGCGGTGGCATCCAGGCGTTTCTGGTAGCCCTCTAAACGGTGGCGGTTCTCTGTTTGCTTCACTGCCTCATTCACATACTTGAGAATCTCCCGGCACTGGTCCCGGGCCCGGCAGAGCTTCTCATGCTCAGAGGTGCCACCTACCAAATAGGACAGGAGATGGTTAGGGCTGCTGCCTGAGAAGTCTATCACAGCGTCAGCTGTTATCTGCCTGAATCCATCCATGGCAACTGGCTTGCTTCAAACCAGCAGGCGTGGGTGGGCAGAGGTGAGCCACTCTTGCCTCACATGGGAACCTCAAGTGATAAGGGTAACTTTTACTGAGCATCACCGGGTCTCAGACAGACCACTGCTTTGAAGACACTGATAGCTCTTGGGAATTCCTGCCTCTACCACAGCCAGCTCTACAGAGGCAGGGGACAGACTGTGGGAATGGTCACGATAATGCCTCCAGAAAGCCCGTTCAAATCAGGCTGGGGTTCCTGACAATTCTCTGTCCTGATTCCAATGTCTGAAATTTGGGGGTAGTAAAAGATGCCCAGGACCCCAGGGAGAGTGACAAGCTGAGGCTAGACCCCCTTGTTCCGTTTCGCCCCCTGCTCCTCTAGGGTTACCATGTAGGCTGTGTCTTTTGTGCACTGCAGGGGGCACGAATGGGGATAAAGTCCAGCCCCATTCAACCAGAGGGACCCAGGTGCCCTTAAGTGCCAGCCTGTGCCAAGCGCCGGATGCTTTCCCTGGATTTACACAAAGGCTCCACACAGGTGGGCCTCTGGTAGTGGCCCTTACTCCTCCTGCTGTTGAATACCTTATATTTTCCAAAGGACATTTGTAATCATTTTCTTCTGACATGCCCCACAACAGGACAAGGATGAAAACACCAAAGGCCACAAGGCACAGTGACTTGCTAAGGCCACAAAGCAGTGCCAGAATGAGGGTCTGGCAGGAGGCCTGCTGCCTGTGGTGCGAGCCCCTCCCCAGGCCTACCCTCTGTGTGCTTGATGATGCTCTCCAGCAGCAGCGGGTACTTGGTGAGCCGCTGCATCTCGGAGATGATGAGGTCTCTCAGCTGCAGCCGCCGGCACTGAGGGTGGCTCTCAGCCTCCTAGACAGCAGGAGACACAGAAGGGAGGAGATGTCAACGTGGCTGGGAGCTGGCTTACGGCCTCAGGGCCAGGATGGGTGTGAACATGAGAAACAGGTCCTAACCCCAGATGGGTCACTCAGAAATGGTAGTGGCAGCTTCTTCCTTAAAGGTGTAGAGAAGGGTTGGTGGTGGCAGGGAGACACCAACCCAAGGAAGGGATACGGTCAAAACAGAAGGGCAGGTATACTGCTGCCACTCTACAGACAAGGAAACTGAGATCCACCTCAGTGCACACAGGTGCTGGTGGGTAAGCCAGGCCTCTGAGTGCTAATCCAGGATTCTTTTCAACAAACAGCCATCTCTTTGTCTAGAGTGAGTCAGTGCTTTTGAGGAGCTGGTGCGGAAGGATGGAGGGAGTTGCTGTAGAGAGGAAGGGTGTGGCCAGAAGGAGAGATCAGGAGACCCTTGGTGACCTTGATGGAGATGAAGGAAGGCTGAGGCATGGGTGAGACGTACCTGCATGAAGAGCTGGAATCGGCTCTCCTTGCGCTGCTTGGTCTTGATTAGCTCCAGGGCTATTGACTGATAGGAACAGAACTGTGCAGCCACCTGCTGGAGTTCCTCTCGGGCAGGGCCATCGAACTAAAGAGGCAGAATGGACACAGGACCAGGCATCACATCCCTGCCTGGGACCGGTCCCCTGACTATCCCTTCCTTTGCCAAATTCTCTGGCCTTGGGAAACAAGACCCTGCCTTCCCCAATCTCCTTGCCGAGAGGGAAAAGTTTGGAGCTATACCCGGGCCAGCATGAGGTCACTGATCTCTTTGATGATGGGGCCTTCCTCCCGAAGCTTCTTCATGGCTTCACACCAGGAATCTAGGGTGAGAAGAGAACAACTAGAAATGCCTGGGGTTGAGCTCAATTGCCAGAACCTTTCTGACAGAAAGAAGTGAATCTCTGACATCAGTGCCATGGGGAGGGTCTGGAAACCATTTTACTTTCAGGTGAACTCCAGTGCTGGTTTCAGGCTATCCACAGATCTTTTTCTCACCAGGGATTGGTCAGGGGTTATCTACTCAGGGAGGTCCTGGCAGGTGGGCCAAAGTGGAACAGGAAGCTAAAGGGCAGCAGAGGAGGAGTCTGGAGGGGCACCGGCTCCTTACTGTGAATCTCTATGAGTTCAGGCAGGTTCGGAAAGAGTCGGGCCAGCTCCTCCCTGGGCATCAGGTTCTCCTTCTTCATTCGCTGGTAGAAGATCAGGTCCAGGACACGAAGTGTGCGCAGGTGGGAGGCTTCAGTCACAAACAGCTCTGAGTGGTGGTTGTGACAAGGAGGATAGAAAGCCAGGGAGAAAATAGATCAGCAAGTATCTAGAGTCCCGGCCCTGGCCCCTCCACCACTCTACTTTTGGGGGAATTGAAGTGCTGATTTTAGATCATACAACAACTTATCTCTCACCCCAAGGGCCAAAACTGAGGGGGACCTTACAGCAACAGGCAATGTGGAGTTGCTCCAGCCCACGGGGGCCCCCCACCCTATTTGCCTCTTTCCCACCCTTGTGTCTTAGGCATTCTGGACCTATTCCTATGTGTGTGAGCAGAGCTGCGGGCAGTGGTCCCCAGGTGTGTGAGCAGAGCTGCGGGCAGTGGTCCCCAGGTGTGTGAGCAGAGCTGCGGGCAGTGG